TGAACTCCCTCTCCCATTTGAGGGTCCCAGGCCCCAGGAATTGACGTGGGGTCTCTATAAATAGCACCCATTCCATATTGATCATCTTAAAAAGATACGGTATGTTCTAGGCCCACAGAGAGAGGAGAGAAGTGTCTAAATATAGTGTCATCCCCAGGAACCGCTGCCAGCCCGAGGGGAGTGGTATGGGCCGTGCAGAAGTAAAGGAGCAGTCTGAAGGGGCTGACGACTGAGAGGGTGGGGGGTGGAACGGAGGCGGGGAACCTGTCCTTCCCCACCCCAGTCTCTCTGCTCCAGCCACAGCAGCCAGCCCTGCTCAGGAGCTTGGCCCTGCCTCTGGGCCTTTGCACTGGCAGTCCCCTCTATACAAGACATTCTTGCCCCAGACCTCCTCAGACTGGTTCTTTCTCCTTATTCAGGTCTCAGTTCAGCCTTCTTCTTCAAGATGCCTTCCCTGACTGGCCAGTTGAGAGTCACTCCCGTCTCTCCATCACATCATCCTGTTTTATTTCCTTCATAGCACTTGGTCACCATCTAAAATTATCTTTGCATCTACTTGTTTCATGGCATCCAGTCTGTCTTTCCCAACAGCACATAAGCTTCATGAGTGCAGTTACTGTATTTGAATTATATAGCTCCTAGAATCTTCCATGGCATAGATTAGGGGCTGAATGTCCTATCTAGGTCTCCCCCGCCACCTGAGGCTGAACTCAGCCTCAGACCTTGGCCACAGGTCAGTCTGGGCTGGCAGAGGGCAGTGGGCATCCAGTCCCAGGCTCACTCTGCAGCCTGGCCGTCCCTGGGACCACTTCCTGTGGCTTCCAGTCTCCCTCCATGGGCTGACCCCTGGCTTCACCTTCTCTTCTCTCTGTCTCCTTGGTGAATCTAGCCACAGGACTTTCAACTCAGCCCCTCTTACTTCTGGATACCTGCTCCAGACGACCTCATTTTGTCCCCGAACACTGCTTTCTGGAATACTTCTCTCTCCTCAGAGCAAACCTCCCTCCCCTTCCTGACCCCTGCCTCCAGCAGGAATCACAGTTCCTGCCATCAAAATCACCTTCTCGGAGCTTCATAGGAAGAGTCATTTCCCTCCAGGCCTTCCTGATGGACCCGCTGGACAAACCAGAGCAACGGAGACCCCACGGGCACACCTTTAACTCACAGACCTCCGGCCCTCCCTGTGAGGGAAGGCATCTCCCCAGAAGCACGGGCACATGGACGCACATGCGGACACATGGACACACAGGCCAACAGTGTCCGCTCCAGGCTCTCCCTACAGCCCTCCCTTGACCTTCCCCCACCCACCGCCAGCTCCCCTCTATCTCTCTTCTCCCTCTTAAACCATCACTCTTTGAAAGAGCTGTCTACACATGCTGTCTCCACGTCCTCACCTCCTGCTCACTCCTCAACCCACTCCAAACTGGATTCCATTCTCACCAATTCATTCATTCATTCACTCATTCATCAACAATCTGGCTGTACCCGGCACCACATTCTGTGGGTGCCCAGGGGGAAATTTCTGTTGTCAGGGTCACCGGCACCCTCACTGTTGCTCAATCTCATGGACACTAGTTTTTAAATTATGCATTCTTTTTTATCTACCCATGAACGCCTCAGAATGTATCTTTTTAACTCTCTCTGCAGACACAGGAGACTCCTGGGATGTGCACCCTCCTCATTGTCTGTGACACTTCCCACTCCTGGCTGTCCTCCCACCTCTCTGACTGCTCTTTCCCAGCCTCCTTTTTCACAGATGTCTCCGGCCTCGATTGTAGGAGAGCCTCAGGGCTCCGGACTCAACCCTCTTCTCCCCATTAGATCTCCTGGGTGCTTTCGAAACTACTGATGCCCAAGCCTCACCCCAGAGTCAAATGAATTAGAATTTCTGGGGGTGGAGCCTGGGCACAGGTTTGTTTTGTTTAAAAAGCTCTCCAAGTTATGCTAATATTGCCGGAGTTGAGAACCACCCTCAACTGGACAATCGAATTCATTGCCATGACTCCAATGACCAGCCTCTGTGAAAGATTCCAGGTTTCGCCCTCCAACCCAGATCTCTTTCCTGGACCCTGGACCCTTCCTTCCCACTGACTGCAGATGTCAGCATCTTCCTGGTAGCATTTAGGTTCAGATCAGGACCCTGAAACATCCATCACCTCTCCTCTGTTCTGCATCAAGCTTGCCAACCCACCTGCCCATCCCCCCCTTACAGTGTGATAAGGCGGCAGTGAACCTCACTTAGTGAGTGACTGAAGTTGGGGATGGGAGAATGGCATATCCCTTAGCAGGAAGGAAGTTGGAATGACACAGGTCCTATCACCTGTGGTCACCTGCCTGTCTTGTCTCTCTCCTTTAACTGAAAAACTTTTGACGGCACCCATGTTCTGCACGGGAGAGGCAGTAGAGAGGAAAGCACATAAATAAACTCCTGGGCTCAAACTCAAGTCCTGCTGCTGAGGAGATGCTGACAATGAGAAAGTTACTTAACCTTTCTGGGCTTTCAGTTTCACCATCTGCAAACTGGTCGTCATTATGGTCTCTCCTTCCAGGGTTGATGAAAGGAGTCAGTGAGATGAGTCTTGTAAAGAAAGTGTTTAGTGCCGTGTCCTGGCTGGCAGAAAGCACTCAGTGAATGTTAGCTATTTTTAGTACCATTACTGTGGATAAATTCCCAATTCCTGAGTGGAGCTCACAAGGGCCCCCGTGACTGTGACCTTGACTTTAGCTTCTGCTCTTCCTCACACCAGGGGACTCAACAGGTCACTGAACAATTGTTTCACATCTCTGAGCTTTTGTACATGCTGGTCCTGATGGCTGGATTGTACCTGTTCCACCTAGAAAACTCCTATTCATCCTTCAAAACCCAGATGGAAAGTTATTTTTGTTAGATGGATACCCTCGACTCTCCTAGCCAGAGGCAATCACTCCTTTTTTGAGTGGATTGTGGGGACACACTTCTATTATTGCACACTTTTCCAGTAACCTTCCAAGGCTCAGCAGGAACTAGCCTCCTATGAACAGAACAGAAATTGCCATTTAACACTGTCCCGGGCTGCCCCCAGTATCCCTTCTCCTTGGATTCCCTGAGCATCAGCCTCCTGTGCTCCCCAACTCCCAGCTGTCTCTGGTACTTCCCACCACTCCTCCAAGCTCCATCTTCATGCTGAGTGAGTCAATCCTGGAAATTTTCCAGAAGAGTTTCGATCACCACACTGAGTCGGGGCCAAGCACCTCCAAGGCCCGGCAGATGCTCATGCCACATTGGGCTCATGCTGGTTCTTGGCCCCTCAGGGTCAGTTCCCTTTCTGCTCAGATTCTCTTTGGTCAGTCCTAGGTCAATTTGGCTTTCAGAATGCACATCTCAAGGCATCTTCACCCTGAGTGGGGCCCCCAATCCACTGACTCTCTAGGTGACCTTGGCTAAGTCCTTGACCTGCTGTCAGCCTCAGCCTCCCCCTGTACGATGTGGTGATGATGACAGGGTTAGGTTAAAAGTTCACTGAGGCTCATTTCAGCAAGGGGCTGGACATTCTAGTATAATATCTGAATTGTGTACTCTGCCTGTCCCCTGACCCTCCCCTCCCTTAGTTCCAGTGACTGCGGCCTGGCTTGAACTATCAGCCTGTGCCACCCTCATTCCACCTTCCAGTTCCACTGCCACCCACTCACATGCACCTGCCCAATTCTAACCAGGAGGAGTTGAGGGCAGCAGCAAGGGCCTGGGCTCCCGATGGCCTGGGCGTCTGCTGCTCAGAGTCCCTCTGGATCCTGAGGAGATGGTAGGAATCAAGGAGAGGGAGGACATGCTATGGCAGGTGGGGTCATACGGAATGCCTGTCTCCACCATGGGGTCTAAGCTGCCTGTGCAGGTGCCTGGGGTCTCAGCAGGATGTGAGGAGACAGGTAGGTGAACAGAATGCCAACCCAGAACCCCCCTCCTCCTCGCTGGTCTCAAAGCACTAAGGAGCAAAGAGAGACTCCTGCCACAACCTCAGCCATGGCTTCCTGATCCGCCTGTGCGCTGGCCTCCAACAGGTGTCCGCAAGGCGGGCCTATGGCCAGGGCCTTGTCCCCAGCATCCCCCTTTCCCCTAACTCTCCACACCTCCAGCCCCCACAAGGCCAGGCACCTCCATTTCCTGCCAGGGCAACACCAAAGCTGATCAAATAACAAGGAGAACAAAAACCCGCTTCATGTCAGGGTGCATGGATATGCCCGGGTCAGGGGGAGGAAGGCAAAGAACTCTCCTCTATACCAGCCGACAGACATCGCCCCAGTTGAGAGCACAAGATCCCTTCTCCTTCAGGACTCACAGAGATCAGATTCCTCTCAGTTAGGGGGTCAGAGGGCAAAGAGATCTCTTCATGATCGGGGCGCGCAGAGAGGACACACAATATAGATCTCTCCCCCTTCAGGGCGCATAGAGATCTGTCCCCCTTCGGGCCAGGCAGAGACCTCATCCCAGAGATGACACCCCCAGCGGACGGCTCCGCTGGGCCCAGAGAAAGGGGCGCATGGCCCCTTCCTCCACTTCTAGCCCGGCTCGGTCAGCTCCCCGCTCTCCGGAATCACACTCACTGCGCGCCTAGTCGTTGCTCTGACCTTGGGGTCTCCGGCTTCGGGAATCCGAGTCCCAATTCCAGACCCTCCCGGATCCTGCGCCAGGGTCGGCAGGGAAGCCGGGGCCGCAGCTCCCCCTCCCCCGGCCCTCGACAGCGCGCTGGGAAACGCGGAAGGAAAGGGAAGGGGAGGGAGCGCGCGCGGATAAGAGACGCCTCCCTCCCGGGGATCCCCTCCAGGCAGGCTGCTCTGCGCCCCTTCTTCTCCCCCTCCCACCCTCAGAGGCAGAGATGGGGGAGGGAGCTGGTGGTGGACCCGGGGCAAGGGAGGGGGCGCGCAGGGGTTGGAGGCTCCGACCCTCGAGGAGGAAAGTTGGGCGGCGGCAGGCGGAGGGGGTTTTGGCAGGGCCGGGGCCGCCGGGCTTGGGGGAGCTCGCTCACCTGCTGGTCCCCCGGCTCGGGCCCCGGGATGGGCGGCTGCGGCTCGGCGCGGACTCGGCTCGGCGCGGGGCTCGGGGCGC